CCAACAACTGGTCTCATGTCCTCAAAAACCTCCAACAACTGGTCTCATGTCCTCAAAAACCAACAACTGGTCTCATGTCCTCAAAAACCTCCAATAACAGGTCTCCTCAGGACCTCCAGGGCCTCCAACACATTGGCACCTCAGGATCTCCAAACCAACAACTGGTCTTCTCAGGACCTGGATATTGACATATTGTTAGTAAAGACGAGGGCAGTTTTCTCAGAAGACCTGGACCTGGACCAACCATCAAATTCTAAATTATCCAGTTATTTTCTAAAAATGGTTCATCTTCTTCAGAATCATAAAATGTTTACCCATATTCCACTGAGACTAAAATATGGCTTTGTGAGATTTTTCACATTTAAACATCATAACTTTTCCCTGAGGTGACTGAGGCTCCTCAGACTGAAGGTCTTTCGGATAAAAGACGTAACGTTTCTACTTTTTTTTTTTTGCTTTTTGTTTTTTTGAAAGTCCAGAGGACCAGACTTAACTTTTTTGGATAACTTTTCCCGTGTTGAGGTTCTAGTTCCTGTTTGAGTTTAACGCTCAGATCCTGTCCATTGACAACGTGTTGAACAAACGGTAGGAAACGTGACATTTTACAGAACAATAAAAGGTGAACTGAGCGCCACATGAGGAGCCGTGTGTGTCGGGATATGTTGCATCTTGTTAAGTCTCGCTCTTGGATATGAATAAATCAGACCGTCTTTAAACATGGCCGACGAAGACGCCCGTTTGTCTTCACCTTCAGCGAGTGAACCTGCAGGGAAAATGTCTTCATTTGTCGGGGCAGACTCCATCAGTCACAGAAAAGGTTACGAGTGTCTAAAGAAGTAAACTATTAAAAACAGATTTATTGTCTGGTCAGAAAATAAGAAATAAAAAGTTCATGACTTCCGTTGTGGAGAGATTTCAGGTGTCAGACATTGAAACAAGCCTGATGGATCAGATGAATATCTGAAGGATTTCACTGCTGCCGTTGTTCAGGCTGCTCCAAAGCCTCCGGGCCTCAACAGAAAAAGTTTATCTGCATGAGTTCCTGCCAAGACCTGGAGCTCGAGGTTTTATGTGGAACAGAGACAGATCTTATTTAACATTTCATTCCTGGATAAAGGTGTCTCATTTCTCCTTCGTCAGTGTCAAATACAAACAGAATTTCTCTGCTTTTACAAACCTTTAAACAGGACTCAAACAAAACAAATATTTAGCAAAGTGATTCTTCTTCGTCTTTTTTCGGCTTTTCCCTCTTCAAAGTCTTTACAGCGAGTCCTCCTCCATCTCACTCTGTCCTCTCCAACTGCATCCATAAATCTGTCTTTTTTCATGGCAGCTGCATTTCTAACATCCTTCTACCAATATACCCACTGTCCCTCCTCTGGACATGTCCAAACCACCGTCCCTCCTCTGGACATGTCCAAACCATCTCAGTCTGGTCTCTCTAACTTTATCTCCCAGTTGTTCAACCTGTGCTGTACCTCTGATGATCTCATTCCTGATCTTATCCATCCTTGTCTCTCCTAAGAAGAACCTCAACATCTACATTTACGCCACTTCCAGTTCTGTCTCCCGTCTTCTTGTCCATGTCTCTTGTCTCCAGATCATACAACGTAGCTGGTCTCACCACTGTCATGTAAACTTGTCCTTTGACCTGCACCAACACCCTTTTATCACAAATCACTCCTGAAGTCAAATCACCGACTGATTCTAACAAGACTAATGTGAAACTTTTCAACCGAAGCAGGAACCAAAAGGTCCAGATTCTGATCAGTGTCTGGTGACCACGTCCAAGTTGAGCAACGCCCCACTTCACTGAGCTTTTCTGCCAACATGCACAAACAAACCAAATGAAACAAATTACAAAACACCACATCTCAAACCAAATCTAACAAAGTTGAGTCAGGTCCTCTAGATGGAAACAAAAAGTTTAAAAAATTATTACCCAAACCCAGACACTCAAATACTTTGGAGTTTGTAATCTGCTCAGATAAGAACACAGTTTATCTCAACACTTAACAAAAATCATAATAGTTAAGATACGGTGTTAGCAGGGTGTGTGCTACAATGTTAACAGGTGTGTGCTACAATGTTAACAGGGTGTATACACTACAACATTCCCTTAATAAAAAGTAATACATTTGAAGTTTATTTTTGCAAGTATACTTTAAGTATATCAAGTATACGACACACCATACTTGTAGTGTACTAGAAGTATACTGATTTAATACTTGTTTGGACTAAATTGGGACATTTTTATACTCTTTTTAAGTATATCGAATAAAGTTTATAAAAAGTAAACTTCAAGTACACTTCCTAGGGTGTATGCTACATTGTAGGGTGTATGCTACGGTGTTAGCAGGGTGTAATATCCTGGGCTGGTAGTGAAGTAGATTATAGAGCAGGGCTACTCTACAAAACTGCTCCGGGGGTGGGGGCACAGTTTCTGAAAGCCAACAGCTCAGGGGCTGGACATCCAGTGATAAAAATGTAAATAAACAAAGTTTTAAAATGATCCGTTACATTTTAATTTTGTTTATTTTATTGCATTGAATCATAAATGCAATAAACCCCCCCCCCCCCCCACAATAAAACTTTTGTTTCATGAAGTGGGCCTGATTGAAGTCACCTGCAGGCCAGAAATGGCCCGCAGGCCACCAGTTGAATAACCCAGTTGTAAGAGCCTAACAGAGGTTTGTTTTTGTTTGTATTGTTTGTTCTGCATGGTTTTGTTTGTTGCAAACAGAACAGGAGAAACGGTTCAATAAAAACTGATAGGAACATAATGAGTGAAGAGTTTTAAATCATTATTTATAAAGAGTAATAAACTAAACAGAGAGGAGGAGGAAGCAGCAGCGGCCTGTCAGGAGACGGAGACCGTGACATGAGATGTCCTGAGTTAAAGTCACAAGCCACTCCGGTCAGCTCTAATTGTAGAAACAAGGCCGAGGCAGTGAACGCATCACACTGCTGTGGAAATCCCACAGGGAGGGGGAACTTCGACAAGACCAGGTTGTTTTTGTTCGTTTTTTTTTTACAAGCACACGTTTGGACCATGAAAGACAAAAGACAACAGTGACTGCAGCCGTCTGGGTTCTCATCAGATTTCTGTTCGTGACATTTCTCTCATGGTAAATTTGATGCAGCTCCACGTAAACACTAAATCTGCAACAAGCATGGAGTTCATCTATGGAAATGTTGAATCTTGGCCATTGAACTGTGCATTTCTCTGCATGACCTGACTAACATGGTTTTAAAGAAAACAACAAACACCAGGAGGTTGGACATGAACTCCTTGAGAATGTCAGAGCTGCGCCTCGCCCAACACTCCCACTCCGTCTCTGTAAACCACTTTCTGCAGCTCTTTGTTCTCTTTGTTCTGAACACTGATGATAGAACCCGTCACACAGACACCGACACACCCTGACAACCGGAATAATCCCTCAGATCAGAGTTGCAGCTTTCACTTGAACACCACAGAACCAGAGGAACCCCCGTCCTTCAGGAGGAGGAACGGCTGCAGTTTCCTGGTCAGGGTCCAGCTCAGGACTTCATTAATCCGGCCCGTGTCTCTTTGAGCTTTGTGTCCACACAGAGCTCCTGTGAGCCGCATGCACCGTCACACTCCGGTGTGAATGCTGCTCACCGACCAGTGAGAAACTGGTTTTAGCTCCCAGAGTACGACTCTCAGCTACTACCACACCAAGTACACCTCAGAACCTGTACAAGTGACTGAGGTGGAGCTGCTTGGTGTCATTTAGCTGAGGCGACGGCCATTTTTAATCAGGTTGATTCAAAAACATGTCGCGATTACTCTGAACGGCCATTAATCTGTATAATGGTCATTGAGATATTTTGCCAACACTGAGACAAACATTATTTACAATTACATTATTTTATCTGGGAGAAACCAGAGATGTGTTGGACTAGCCTTCAGCACACAATCAAAGGACCCACCCCCAACAGGTCCTCCAGACCCACCCCCAACTGGTCCTCCAGACCCGCCTCCAACTGGTCCACCAGACCCGCATCCAACAGACCCACCCCCATCAGACCCACCTCCACAACCACCAGACCCACCTCCAACAGGTCTTCTAGACACACCTCCAACAGACCCACCAACAGACTCGCCTTTCCCAGGCCCATCTCCAACAGGTCCACCAGACCCATCTCCAACAGACCCACCTACATCAGACCCACAGATCAACCTCCAACAGACACACCTCCACCAGCTCCAGGCCCACTTGAAGGTCCAGAGGTAAACAAACATGTTTGTCCACAAGTTGCTCATCCGCTCAGGAAGTAGGAAGGCTGACCTGGAATCCGTCAGATGCTGGAGATGGTCCCAGAGGTTTGAGGGACCAGAACACGACTCCAACACCGAGAGCCTGAACTCATTTCACACTGGATGAGATCTTCATCTTTGAGGCAGAAAGGTCAGACAGAAACACGAGCAGATGTTTTGAAGTAAAGGTGGGCGGATTGAAAGCTGAAGTGTCAATGTCTCAAATGAGCATACAGGTCCATACAGGTCAAAGGTCACGTCCCAGGAGGACAAGAGACATCAACAGATTCATGTTTCAGCCAAACAACTTTTAACTTTGACTAAACTTAAACACGTTTGACTTTTTGGAAGACGTTCAGTCCTGATGCTGGTAAATATAATTACAAACATTCTGTTGAATTTCAGAAGAAAAAAGGTCAAACCCGTCATCTCTCGAGTCTGGTCCTGCTGAACTGGACTTTGTGTTGAACTGAACAGATGACAGATAAAGCTGCTGCTCTGAAGCCTACAGGCCTAAAAAAAGCAGCAGGGAACGTTCTGCAGGGTTCTTTCAGGTCCGTTCAGCTGCGACGTGGAACCACTCCGAGACCTTTAACTGTCTGGACACTTGTGACCCCAGGAACCACTACATGGACCAGCTCCATGGACCAGCTCCACCATCAGAGACTTTTATTTAATCTGAAACAGAAGAAAAAAAAAAGTGTGCTGTACTCACAGATGGAGGTCCAGGCAGACGCTCTCTGATCAGGTCTGTTGGACGTGTTGGACATGAAACCTGAAGCCCGGATCTGGATCCCTGGCAGATCTGGGGTCTGCTGAAGTCCAGGACAGGACACGCTGTCACCCGAGATCCCAGAGCCATCCCAGGACCGAGCAAACCTCCCTGTCCAGCTAAAAATAGAGTGGAGTCAGGGTTCAGCGCACACCCCTCGGGTTTGGTACCAGTGGTCCAGACCCTGGCTGAAGGTCCACGTGGGTCTCCCTGTAAAGGATCAGAGACACAAAACTGTCCAAACATGTAGGAGATCATTTCTGAGGGCTGTAAACGTCTCATTGGTGGATTTAAAGGATTAAAAATAGAACATTCCAACATTCTGGGACTATTTTTAAATTTAAATTCCATGAAGGAATGCACATCACCCGCCATCTTTCACACCTGGAATAATCTGGTCATTAATCTGAGCAGTTTCCCTTTCATTTATTCTGATTTATAATCTCTGGGTGGAACAACAAAAACACCAGATGAAGACATGTCTCCATCTGAACACCAGAGGTCAGCAGAACACAGGGAGACATTTGGACAAGAGGACATCAAACAGCAGGGGAACACGGAGACATTTGGACAAGAGGACACCAAACAGCAGAAGAACA